GGATTAGCAAGCCGAGGCTTAGCGCACTACGCCAATTACTCCCCCTACGTTCTCTTTTGTCGGTTTTCTATTTGAGTACGGAGTCTCTGATACTACAGATGTTTGGAAATTATTCTCATTAAATGCAATTTTTGAGACTGTGTTTATTTTGTCGAAGAAGTTAAGGGAATTTTGAAGTTTCTTTGACGTTCTACGTGTAGAACGAGAATAATCTAAAATAAACAAGGACAGAATTTTAAGGGAGGAAATTTCCTCGAGTATCGGAAGTATTTCTCTGCGGTTTAATTATGTTTGTTTGAAAATTGACGAGAATTTTTAGTCTTCGTTTCGCAGATGCTAAAAGTTAATATAGAATTTGTTTCTAGGCTGTTGTTTTCTCTACTCTAGGTAAAGTGCAAAGAAATTAAATCGATGTTACTGCTTTTACGCGTGGTTCCCAGTTTACCGTTCGATAATATAAGTGGAGGAATATTTGGCGGAAGAAATATAGTGAACTTCGCGTTTTACTGTTTTTACTTTAGACGCAATTTTTCCAGCGACCTCTTCTCTTTACGGTCGATAATAAAAAAAATATAGTAGAGGGAGAGAAAAGTTGAACAGTCGAGCGATGATGCGACTTTCTATAACATTAGTCCTCTTATAGTTGTAAAATAAGATATCTCGAATACAATCGTTCGGTTTTATGGAACCGTATATCATTTTACTTCAACAATAACTTCGAATTATTGCTTTGCGCTGTAAAAACAACTACGATATTCAAGAAATTTTACTCGGAATATAATTCACGAATATATTTCTTCTTCCAAACGTGTATAAATTCGTCTAATTAAAGAATTCTCTTCATTTTTCTCACTCTTTGCGTGAAACTCAATTTGATCCCTATCAGATATGTACCAGATAAAAATCTTATCCTATCCATTATTAAATGTAACCCTGTTAAAGTCGAATTTTCACGTCGTTCTCACTTACAGTCCTCTGTTCGTAAGTTTTTCGATATTTACCGAATGTGAAGCAAGCGTCTAAAGAGCAATTTAGGAAATTCTTAAGATTCTAGTAAGAGTAATTCAGTCTGGAATCTCACAGTCCAATTTTAACGAGGAAACGTAATTGAAATCGCATAATATTAGGTCATCCCGTAGATTCGTG